TTTATTTTTTGAGTTTGAAGTCTGTTTTATCTGATATAAGTATAGCTGTTCCTGCTTTCTTTTTTGGCCCATTTGCTTGTAGGATTGTTTTCCATCCTTTGACTTTGAGCATTTTTATCTTTTGTAGCTAAATGTGTTTCCTGGAGACAGCAAAAGGTTGGGTTTTGTTTTCTTAATCCAGGCTGCAACTCTGTGTCTTTTTATTGAAGAGTTTAGTCCATTTACATTTAGAGTTAATATTGATATGTTAGCATCTGTATTTGCCATTATGTTTGTCTTTCCTTTGATTTTATTTATTTATTCTTTTAATAACTTTTTTTTTTTGGTCTCTTTCGTTGTTATTCGTCCCTCTGAGGTTCTGGCTTTAGGATTCCTTGTAGTATTTTTTGGAGTGGGGTTTAGTCGCAATGAAATTCCGGAGTTTCTCTTTGTCTGGGAAGGTCCATATTCTTTCTTCATGGAGGAAAGAGAGCTTTGCGGGATAGAGTATTCTTGGTTGGCATCTGTTTTCTTGGAGTCTGTTGACTATGTCCCTCCACTCTCTCCTTGCCCGTAGTGTTTCTTCAGAGAAGTCTGATGTCAGCCTGATTGGTTTCCTTTGAATGTTATCTGTTCTTCCCTCTTGTCAGCTTCATTATTTTTCCTTGTCCTGGATTCTTGGAGCTTACTATTATGTGTCTTGCTGTGTTTTTCCTTTCGTCGTGAAAGTTGGTGTTCTTCTTGCTTCTTGTATATCAATTTTCAGCTCCTTCTTCTCATTTGGGAAGTTCTCTTCAATTATATCCATGAATATTTTCTCTGTTCCTACATCTCTCTCCTCTCCTTCTGGATTCCTATAACTCTTATATTTCCTTTCCTCATGGAGTCAGATAGTTCCCGAAGTCTTTCTTCATTCTTTTTCCTTCGTACTTCTCTTTCCTTTTCTGTTTTGGTTCTTTTTATTTCTGTGTCTTCAAGATTACTTATTCGTTCTTCCATTTCATCTATTCTGCTTTCATTGCTTTTCCCAGAGTTCTTTAGTTCCTCCATTAATTCTTTGATCTCCTGCATTTCTCTTACTTCCCTCTTTAGGGACTCAATTTCCTTCTTCTGATCTATCACTTTTTTAATCATGGCAATTTTAAATTCTCTTTCTGGAAGGCTCAGAAGTTCTTCCAAGTTGCTGTCATTGCAATCTGGGGAGTGGTTTTCTTTTTGTGGTGTGCTTCTTTCCTGAGGAGTTTTTAGGTTGCGTGTGTTCTTCTACTCCCTACTGTCTGTTTTCTAATTTGTCGTATGCGTTGGGACACTGTGTTGCTCGGACTGACTGACATCTTGGGTGAACTTCTCCGCTCCCCTCTGGCTCTTCCAGGAGCCATCTCTGTCTTCTGGGGGAGCTTTCTGCTGGTTTTAGGCAGTTTTTACTGAAGAAATGTCCCTGTTCTCAAATGGCGAAGCGGGATGCAGTCCCTGCGCCTCCGGTTTCAGGCACACTCTTCTGCGCACCCGGTCTGCCCCGGACGTGGGTGCCTGCTCCCTCTGTGGGCTCAGACTGCTGGTCGGAAGGGGCCTGGCGTGGAATAACTTCCCGGCTGGCCACTGGGTCCTCCAGAAACTTCTGCCCTTTTCAAGCAGTCTTAAGAAATGTCCTGTTTTATAGGTGTTAGTGACTTTTTTTTTCCTGGTCGCTAGGTGGCGCCAGAGATCTCTCCTATTGTCCTTGGGGGGCTGTTTTTCGCCTCCCCCCACCCCGTGGGACAGAGAACAGAGCGGGAATGGTAGGGTACACCTCAACAGCTTTGGGGTGCTGTGTCTGCCTTGTGCCCCACCGTCGTGGAGAAACCACGCCCCGAATTTTCGTGCCCCGGGTCTCAGTTCAAAGCCCTCAGTTCCAGGACGCGGGCTGTAGCCCAGTTCAGTGGCGCGGGAATGGCGCCTTTGCACTGCTCCCGTGCCTGGGCGCCTGGTTCCTGCTCACTCAGGAGGGACCTTCACGTCAGTGAGGACCTCCGCGCGTCTCCCCGCAAGCCTAGGTCGTCTCCCCGCAAGCCTAGGTCGTCTCCCCGCAAGCCTAGGTCGCAGGCGCGGGGACCTGGGCAGCTGCGATCCTGGTCTGTACTTGCTTTTCAAGCGCGCCGAGCGCGCCGCGTTTCCGCGCAGGCTTACCGGCAGCCCGGGCTGTGTGCGTGTCTCCCGGGGTCTTTGTTCTTCTCTAATGGCGCCCGGAGCCGTTTGCTCACTGCTGCGGCGGATCCTGCAGGGTTCGCCTCAGCTCCCGTTCACGGGGTGTGGTGGCTGCAATAGTTCCTTTCCACTCACAGTCCACTTGCTGTGTCGTTTGTTCTTGTGGGCCGTTTTGGTTTGTTGTTTCCTCCTCTCTGCCGGTCGGAGAGTGCCGCCTCTGTGGGCGGGGGAGGGGAGCAGGTTCTGCGCTCCCTCCCTTCTCGTCCTCTTTTATGGCCACTTTCTTCTTCGGGCAGTTCGCTGGCGTCACCCGTTTATCTTCCGTGTCCCACTTCTCACTGGGACCTGCCGCTTTTCCTCCCTATTCACTTTTTTTAATGGAGATCTTACTCGCAGCGTCTCCTCGCCGCCATGTTGCTCCGCCCCCTCGCTTGTTCCTTTTATTTTAATTTTTTTAAAAGATTTATTTATTTATTTATACAAGCACTGGGTACAGTCAGAAGCGCGGGAGGGTGAGAGGATTTACCAGAGCCAGAGCGGGAACAGAACAGGCAGACTGGTGAAATACACTGCTGAGGGGAGCAGTGGGCCCGGCAGGAGAGGTCTGTCATGCCATGTGGACCGTTCCCGGTGGCCGGGGATCGAACCGGTGCTGCAGAGGCTGCGGGCAGCTTTGCAGCCCAGTGCTCAACCGCTGCACCACCCCGCGAGGCCCCCAATCAATGATATTCTGATAGGACTATATGGATGAACTGTGGGTACTTTGGTGGTTGGTAGAGTGTAGTAACGACACCTGAAAGGGGAAATCTTATACCTCTAAAACAAAAATACTAATGTAAAGCAAATTTAACACAACAACAACAACAAAAAAAAGAAAATGTAATTATGTCCAGAATACATGAAATTTATATATATTTCAATCTTAAACATAAAACAAACTTAAAATATATTAAAATATTATATTCTGAGGCAGCCTCATCTACTAATGTATATTCCTTCCAAACTGACTCAGAATATTTTTGTGGTTGTTGTTCACTTATTAAGGTTTCTTAATTTTTCTAACATAGAACCAAAGAGAGCATAGAAAATCGACAAGTCCACTGCTTTTTTCAGTTTTCCTTAATAATCATCAAAGGCTATGTTACTACTCTACAATCTCATTTTAGCTTCTGAGCCAATAGCTAATTTATCATGAGTTATTTATTTTGAACTCATTCATAATTTATATTCTACCAATTTCCAAAAGATAGTTTGAGTATTATATTTCAAATTATCTGTCCTAGGAATGGTTGAAGTGAAAAATAAAAACAAAAACCAACTGTGGCATTGAAAGGGTTCTTATCAGCTACATTCTTCAGGAATTCAGACTAAAACCCCCCTTCCCTCCCCTAAAGCAGTGCTCTTTATGTTAAACATAGACTTATTTATTTGGGATACAGATAAAATCGTGCAAAATAGGGTGCAAATTTGATGTCACATTTCCTGTGTACTCTGTTAGAATTGCAAAAATGGAGAAAGGTTAGAGGGTGACTGAGCAGGCACTCCCAACCTGCAGGGTAGGCCCCTCTTTGCAAGCTCCATGGGTGGTGGTATCTAAACTGGTGATGTAAGGGGTTAAGCATAGCACTGGGAAGCTGTCTGCAGCCTCTGCAACATGAGTTCGATCCTAGCCAGGGAGCTACCCACACAGCGCAGCAGACCTCTCCTGACTCCTGCTGCTCCCCTCTGCAGTGTATTTCAGTCAATCCACCTGTTCTGCTCCTTACTCTGTCTCTGGTGAATCCTCTTACCCACTCCTTGCATCTCTGGCCTTTATCCCAGTTCTTGTATGCATAAATAAATAATTCCTAAAAAAAAATAAATTGGTGAAAGTCAGACCCATCTATGATGAAGTGCTCTTGGCCTCTATCCATATCATTTATAGGAATGAGATTTGAGGATTAATTTGACATACATCTAGACTTAAATTGTATGTGAGTGAGTGAGTTGGGGGAGAAGATGCCAGAACATCTTTCTTTAGAAGAAGAAAAAAAGTTATGCTGTAGGATAACACGGAAAAGAAACCCATAGAGAATACTATTAAATAGGTTTTAATTTGATGAAAACATTCTTTGGAAAAGTAAATCTACCATAAATGATCATTTGTGGCCAAAGTTTATTATTATAATCTTAAAAAAATGTTATTCCGAGGCATAGGATCACACCTCCTCAAATCATGATTGTATTAATAGATTTTTTTGATATGCATTTTATGTCAGAGCTAAGTTTTGTCTATTTAATCTATTTTCTCTAAGGATATCTGCCAGTTTGTTTCCCTCTCCTGACATTTTGTGCTTACATATCTTGATTCATCAGACATTTTTTTTTAAATTGAAATAGCAAAAAATTTCCTCAAACATAGTTCATTTTGTACTGCATATTGATATTGGGTAAATTCTGTCTCAATAACATTGGCAAGAAACATAGTATTGTTATTCAGTGGAATTCACCTTACATGTATTCAAGGCCACTGAGCGGATTCTTTCCACAGATTCTGCTTCATCTCCTCTTTCCTCCATGAATAGTTTCTTCTGAATTCTGTACTCCCATCTCTTTGTTTCAGGAAACCTCAGCAAAAAGCAAGAGTCTCTTTCTGGCAAGGCCTTACTTTTTGCCAGTGACCACCAGCTCAGCAAGGTTCCTATGTGTGAAAGAGGCTGCAAAATGATCTTGTAATTCAAGTTTGTGTTCTCACTTCTTTAAGATTCTAGCCAGCCTTTAGTAAAACATTTGAAATAGAAACATTACTGAATATTCTCACTTTCCAATTTTAGCTCTTCCACCTAGAGCACCATGAATTGCTGGTAACATCTGAGTCTTAACTTCCTCATCTCTAAACTAAGGACATTCCCCAGGGTTTGTGATGAAAGGAGGAGCTGATGAGCACAGTGCATCTGCATATGGTGGTGCTTGATAAATGGTAAGTACTATTATTATGACAGAAGCATTCCATTTTTATTGACAAGTTTATTTAGCCTTTTCCTAGGGTCTTAGGTTTTGTTCCATATTACTCTCAAGTTTCTTACAAGTTCTCATCTTTTATATCTGTGATTCAAAATCTTTGTGACTTAAAAAAAAATTATGTTCTTGTATGTTTACATTCTTATTGTTACTTAATTAGCTTTAAAATATTTTATTAATTTCTTTTAAAACGTTATTTTACTGTTATTATTCTACTTTTGTTTATATTTCAATTTCCTCTTCTACAGAGGTATACATATATGAATTCTGAATTTATTTTCTGATTTCGTTTTTATACTAAAGGCTTACATGAAAACAAGGCTGCTTTTGGGTACTAGTTTGCTCTTATCATAAAGGGTTGGTGGCAGTCTATTTTCCCCCAACTATGTTTAACAGAGTTCTTAGAATTTGTATGGGAGCATATGATCCAGCAATCCCACTCCTAGGTATTTACCCAAAGACACAGAAACATCAATTCCAAAGAGCACCTGCACCCCTATGTTTATAGCAGCACTATTTACAATAGCTCAGCTTTGGAAACAACCCAAATGCCCAAAAATAGATGACTGGATCAAGAAGATGTGGTACATATACACCATGGAATATTACTCAGCATTCAAAAAAGATAAACACATGCAATTTGCAGCAACATGGATGGCACTGGAAGGGATCATGCTCAGCGAAATAAGCCAGAAAGAAAAAGAAAAATACCGGATGGTCTCACTCATAGCAGGAATATAGAAAACTTAAATAAGGGACCAGGAAAATGAATAACTATAAGAAAGTGAAAATCAAAATCAACAAAAACTATGAACCAGAGACACTCTATGGGGTGGGGGCGGGGAGGGTAGGGATTGGGGTCAAAATAAGGGGGTTGCAATTGTATGGGGAATATAAAAATAAAATTTATAAAAAATAAATATTATACCACAATTCTGTGACAGAAAAAAAATTAAAAAAAAAAAAAAAGAATTTGTATGGGAGCAAACAAAATCTGGAGAGGCTTAAGACAGCCCAGAGTTTAAAATCTGCTGAATGCACGTGTAACAATTATCTTTACCACAACAGCATAGTCTCATAGCAGTCATTAATTACACTGGTACTTTTACTTTGTAGTGCTGTTTTTGCTGTTTTTAATGCATTTTCCTGGCAACACCAATAATTAAACACATATTTAGAGTAACTGCAAATAACTCATGATTTTTTCCTCATTTGTTCATTAAAAATTAATTAGTGTTTTATTCACTAATTTACTATCCAACAAATTAAGTATTGAATACTTTATTGAAGGGATGGTTCCTGTGTTGGTGCATCCACCATTAGCTATTTAGCCTGCACAGACTGGTATGTAGCCATGAGCCTATGGTTAATAGAGCATTTGAAATGTGTCAATATATGTAAGGAACTGAAATTTTTCTTTTATTTAATTTTAACATTAAATTTTAATACTGAAGTTGTGTAAAATTTCTGAATAAATTTAACTTTATTGAATGTGCAATATCATTTTATGTTAATTACACATTGCAATGGTAATACTTAAATATATTTCATTAAATTAAAATATTAAAATTAATTTCACCTTTTTTAACCATTTTCAATTTGGCAATTATAAAATTATGTATGTGGCCTGCATTATGTTTCGATTGGCTAACAATTGCATAGGCAATCCTATGGCCATCAAATAAGAAGCTAGTACGAAGTAATGTCACAATAATGTGAAAAAGGTATGACTGATTAGTATTAGAACTTATGAAAAGAAAAGTTAATCATTATTCAAAAATAGAAAAGAAACACCTAAGAAGACATCTTCAATTCTGAAAGTTGGAGAAAGTATCTATAGGGTAGGAGAAAAGCAATTACTTAAATCTTAGGCAATAAAATGACTGATAAAGCTGAGAGGAATTACCACTGTCAATTGATATCATGAAATATAGGAATTAAAAGTCATTCATGATTCATCTCTAAACCCTCATCTTTTGCAAAAATTGTTTATTCAGGAAATCTTCAAAGGTATTTATTGTATACCTACTATGTATTAGGGATTGTTTTAAACTAGATGCTGGAGACACAGCAACAAACAAGACAGAAAAATCCTTACTCTTGTTACATTCTAATTGGAGATACATATAATAGACAATTGTTAAATAAATATACAAAAGAAAGGATAATTTCAGATTTTGACAGTTCTAGGAGGAAAATAAAATGGTGATAGCTACAGAGAGATGGAGGAGTAAGGAAGGCAGCATCGGCTAATTTAAATGGAGTGTTCAATGATGACTTCATGGAGAAAATTGCATAGGAGTTGAAAATTGGAAGTAAAAAATTATAAAACAAACCAAGATCTGTTTGAATGAACTGACAAATGGAAAGACCTAAGGACTAGAGTAACCTTGGTATTTTCCAGAAATAGACTACTATGATGGTACATATGAAGCTGGAACTTAGGCAGAAGCCGGATCATATCTGACCTTAGAAACCCACATAATGACTCTGGATTTATTCTATGTATGATAAAAACTGTTGAATTTTGATCAGAAATATGATATGAATTGATTGACTACTGCTTGCTCTGTGTAGAGGATGTAGAGGAGTCAATATTGTTTATCATAGAAACTATTTCCCCATTTGTAGTCTCGCCATTTAAAATTATTTAAAATTATTGCTTCCTATTTTTGTTATCATTATTTTGATGACATATTTGCTCTTCTTTGTTTATAGGATTAAAAATTGCAGGTATATCTGATGCCTCACTATGTCCCTCCTGAGGTGTTTCACCATCACCACATATTTTATGCTTACCATTCACTTGCAAACTTTTACAATTTTGTCCTATAGTTAGTCCATAAAGAATATCTTCTATCTACTATGTTTATTTATGATTTTATGAGAATGTATTATTTGTTGCAAAGATTTTTTCAGATTTATTGAGATAAAAATAGCATAAAATACTTTGTAAGTTTAAAGTGTACAGCACATCAATTTGATATACTTAAATATTGCAAAATGTTTACCCTTGTAGCATTAGCTAACACTCCATTGTGTCATATAATTACTATTTCTTTTTCGTGGTAACAACATTTAAGATCCTACTTACCAATTTTCATGTGTATAATACAGTATTGTTAACTATAATGTCAAGAATTTGTTCATCTTCTAACTGGAAATTTATACTCTTCACCAACATCTCCCCATTCATGACCCCATTCCAACCCACCACCCCCATACCCTTCCCCGAACAGCCCCTGGTAACAATCACTTTACTCCTTGTTGCTATGAGTTCAACGTTTTTAGATTCCACATTTAAATGATATCCTACAATATTTGTCTTCTCTGCTTCACATTTTACTTAGCACAACATTCTCAAATTTCATCCAACTTTTTGCAAATGAGGAAATGGTAGGATTTTCTTCTTTTTTTTATGACTGAAATAATATTCCTCTGTGGGGTGTGTGTGTGTGTGTGTGTGTTTTACATACTCTTTATCAATTATCCATTTGGTCACTTCGGTTGATTTTGTATCTTGGCTATTGTGAATAATGCTGCAGTGAACATGGGGGTGCAGATATTTCTTGAGATTTTCATTTCTTTCGGATATAAACCCAGAAGTGAAATTTCAGGATCATATAGCAGTTCTATTTTAATATTTTGAGAAACCAACATGTTTTTCATAGTGGTTTACCATTCCTATGAATAAATGCACAAGAGTTCACTTTCTCCACATTTTGCCAACACTCACTAGCTCTTGACATTTTGGTGATAGTCATTCTAACAAGTATGAGGTTATATGTCTCATTAAGATTCTGATTTGCATTTCCCTGATGATTACTAATGCTAAATATATATTTTTATGTGTATGTTGGCCACTTGTATGTCTTCTTTGGAAAAGTGTCTACCTATTCAGTTTCATTGTTCCAATAAAATTATTTTTTATTTGTTTTTGCTATTGAGTTTTATAAATTCTTTATATATTTTGTACTTTAAGCCATTATCAGATGTGTGATTTGAAAATACCCATGTACAATAGGTTGCCTTTTCTTTTTAAAGATTTTATTTATACAAGAACTGGAGTACAGTCCAGATGTGCGGGAGGGTGAGAGGATTTACTAGAGACAGAGAGGGGAGCAGAACAGGCAGAAGGACCAAAGACACTGCTGAGGAGAGCAGCAGGCAAGGCAGGAGAGGTCTGCCGTGCCATGTGGGTATCTCCCTGGCCAACTGGGAGTTGAACCCATGCTGCAGAGGCTGTGGACAGCTTCACAGCACTGTGCTCAACCTGCTGTGCCACCACGGAGGCCCAGGTTGCCTTTTCACTTTTCTTATGGTTTCCTTTGTAGTGCAGAAGCTTTTTAATTTGATGTTGTACCACTTGTTTTAGTTTACTTTTGGTGTCATTAATTGAGGGGAAATATCAATAAAAACTTGAATCTGAAGTGCTTCCTTTATTACATTTGTCTTTGTCAAAGAAAACCAAAGTTTTTACAAGTCAATATTTGGATAAACTTAAATAAATTAGAATTTTTGCAGTATATCCTCGTGTGTGTCTGGCTGCTGATATTGCAATACAATCACTGGGCAAAATGGTTATAATAATTTATGTTTGGCTATGCTATCAGACTGATTCTACTAAGATTCCAATAAGTAAAATGTCTGAAAACAATTTAAGAATAAACTATGTATTACGAATGCCATTAATAATAATGAAAAGGCAAAATTAATTGAGTTGTGAAGACACAGATCTTTTCTTTTATGGTCAATGTGTAAAACTTTGTGGTGTTTCACTTGATGAACATTAAGCTCATTTTTGTCCACATTAAAAATAAGAAATTTCTTCTGCAAATATATCAGCACCTGCAGAGGCATGGCTAAATGGCTATGCTATGCTTTTTTTTTTAATTTTTTTTTATTTTTTATTTTATCAGCAGGAGACTCTCTCTTCCCAGAACAGTTGCCTGGCACACTGTCTAAAATGTGACTCCCTTGTGTTTTGAAAAAGATGGTGTCTCCACTGAAAGGACAGCACACAATAATGGGACTTTTGGCTTGGAGTTGCTGGCTGAATAACAAATCTTCACTGGTGAAAAATGAATCCATACAACCTGCTCTGTATCAAAACTCATAAAACTGTGTTTGGTATGCATAGGTTGACATCTTGTCTTGTTCTTGTTTCAGTTTCAGTGGCAAACATGATACTAAGGCAGGTATATTTTCATTGACCAAATTGAGATTTTTCTTCTTTCTCTCCTCTCACTCTTTCCTTTCAAAGATAAATTTGTTTCCTTTCTCAGTGATTTATACAGCTACGTGCATTACAATACTGCTTTACATGCGAGTTTTTATTTTGACTATCTCAAGGTGATAAATTGTCTTTCATGGCATTCAGAGAATTTAGTTTAATATCAAGAAATAGTCAAATTGAGACAATTGCATGGATAGAAGTTTCAAACCTGTCTTTTAATCTAGTGTATTGAGTTCATTTTGAAGAAGCATTAAAGAAGAGTAAAGTGTTATTTATCACACTAAATTTGTTTATAATTTCCAGTAGCTACTAAAAAACATGAAGAGGATGTTCTGGTGGCAACCATACCAGGCTGAGAACGTTTATTGTTGATTTGGGCAAATGGATAAGGAATCTTGGAGCCTTAGGTAGGTATGACATGCCTTTAATGCTGAAGCAGGGGACAAAGTACAGAAGCAGAGCAGAGGGCAGGGAGGTTGGGAGGCTGGAAGGCAGGCAGCAAGTGAGCCTCCAAGCCCCTGTGATCTCTGCTATCTCTCTCTGGCTTCTCTCTCTCTCTCAGGTTGTCTTTTATTTTTAAGATTTATTTATTTATACAAGAACTGGGGTACAGGCCAGAGATGTGGGGGGTGAGAGGGTTCACCAGAGACAAAGCGGGGAGCAGAACAGGTAGACAACCGAAAACACTGCTGAGGGGAGCAGCATGCGAGACAGGAGAGGTCTGCTGTGCCATGTGGGTATCTCCCTGGCCAGCCGGGAATCGAACCCATGATGCAGAGGCTGCAGACAGCTTCACAGTGCTGTGCTCTACCCACTGCGCCACTGGGGAGGCCCGCAATCTTATCTTGTAATGATCTTCACATGTCCATAGTCATAGGTGTGTAAACCCCATGCTTGTGCTCACAAGCATTTTTTGCAATAACACATCACCGTGGGTAATGAAACCTGGGAGGAAGCAAAGCTATGGCTATAGCATTTAGCAATGGGAGATGAAAAAGAGCCTGCGCCTCTCCATTTCCCTTACGGATGTTATATATTCAAAGACATTAAATACAAAGTTTTTTTTTTTTTAAAGAGCTGATTTCTAGACTTCTTAAACTTCTAATAACTGGTAGAATCCATAACTACCCTATATACCAATCTCTAAAGCTTAAATTGCAAAAACTCTACTTTAAGGTTGTTAGATAAAATATAGGACACTCAGTTCAATTTGAATTTCAGGTCAATAATCAATATTTTTTAGTGTAAATATCTCCTAACAATTATTGAAGAAATCTAGCAACTCTACTATCTGATACTATATTAAGAAATGATAATTTAGGTGTCAGTAGCTCAAAAACTATAAACTACTATGTAAAAATGAGGATTTATGTGTACATGTGATGAGGCCTACTTAGCTTTTTTGATGTACACTAAAAACTACAGTTATTTATGTGTCTCAAGAGAAATTTCAAAACTTTGACCAAGTCTTTCCTTTTTTTTTTGTCTTGCACTTTACTGCTGCAAATCTCCATATTCTTCAGCACTCCACACTAGTAGTTTATGGGACCACTGAAAATAAGCAAGGTTGTTTATTGGCAATTTGATGCAAGATCCAGGTCTTCAACATATATGTCTGTAAAGCAGCAATGTTCATAAAATCAATTCCCATGTTAACACATACCTTTTTATTTCGCATATTAACAACAATAATAACAATAATTGTTATTAAAATAATCTAATATACAGATTTTGGAACCAATGAATCTGGGTTTCTACTTCTAACATACTGTAACTGTATAGCCTTAGAGGAATCATTTAACTACGCTTTGCTTCTGTCCCCTCCTGTTAACTAGAGTTAATAATGGTACTGGCCTCATAGGTTTGTTGCAAGGATTTAATATGTTAATATAAGTACTGAGAGCTAATCAGTTGCACCACCGGAGCTCCTAATATGTTGTTGGGTTTTTGGTTTATTTTCTGTGTGTAGTTACTATATCAAGGTTTTTATAAAATTACCACATTTAAACTTCATAACAATAATTTGAAGTTAATTTTATTAATATACTCAATAATGTGATATGCCTAGTTTATAGTCAGGATTCAAGCCTTGTGTTTTTAATCATCATGTTATCCAATAATATGTTGATTACATACACACATACTCTCAGGAGTTGAGTTATTTGTTTAACTAAATCTAAAGGAAGAAACCCATTTTAATAGGGGAAGTGTTTTTAATTGTGATGCTTGTTTTCTCTTTTCATCAAGACTGTATTCAAGAAATCCCAGGACACCGCAACCTACCTTTGACTAGAATTGTTGCTTTTGTTTGTTGCATTCATCAAACAATAACATCTGTAGTTTTGTTACTTTGAAAAGTGCAAAGACTTCTTAATTATGAATTTTTTTCTAAAGATTTATTTATTTATTTATACAAGCACTGGGTACAGTCAGAAGCACGGGAGGGTGAGAGAATTCACCAGAGCCAGAGCGGGGAGCAGAGCAGGCAGAAGGACCGAAGTACACTGCTGAGGGGAGCAGCGGGCGGCAGGAGATGTCTGTGCGCCATGCGGGACCCTTCTCCAGTGACTGGGGAGCAGCCGGGGATCGAACCGGCGATGCAGAGGCTGCGGGCAGCTTTGCAACCCAGCGCTCAACCGCTGTGCCACCGGGGAGGCCCAATTATGAATTATTCTTAATAGTTCTTTTTTTTGGCTGTGTGTCAGTCTACTTTTCCATCCATAGACAGGCACTCATAAGCATGTATATGTATCTGTTAAACTTATAGTTCAACTTAATGAGAAATTGGTTACTAATTATCTAGTGATATCCTAGATTTAAAAAAAAAAAAAAGAAAAAGAAAGAAAAGGAAATTTGTCACTTTTTTGTTGAATGGTGAAGTGAAGACAAATACAGAGAAAACATCTGAGAAAAATCAATCAACAGAGATTGCTAATTGGGGGAGCTGCATATCAGTTAAATGAAAATAAAGGAAGATAGTAAAACTGTGAAACCACACTGAAGCATACTGCAACCCAGTTTTAGAGGAATATTTTGGTCCAACAGACACAACAGATTTCAAAAGCAAATGATATTTAAAATTCTTTTGAGTTTGTCAAAATATTGTGAGGACATGTAAACCTTAGTGACAATTTCTTGAAAAATCATTTCTTCTTATCCCCACACTTAACTTCTTAGAGATGTTTTCACTGCTTTTCTTGAAATCCCACAAATTAGCAGAATTCTCACTTCCTTGCTCTGGAGAGAAGCTTCCTTCCTATACTTCCCCTTGGTCCTTTAAGTCTTCTTCTCTTCCCCCTTTTCTCTAACTTCTATTCTATTTTCTCTTCATATCCACCCACTAGTTTACACTCACTATCATTTCATCATCTCTACTCCTAAAAGGAAAAATGAGAAACTTCAGGCAAAGTAAGGACCCTCTTGGAGAAAGGGAGACAAAAAGACCAGCAACATTCATTCTATTTTGTTTTGTTTTGTTTTGTGCAATCACTGTTGAAACACTCTGAAGACACATACAAGGCAAAATTTTTCAAATGAAATGAAGCAAGCGCAATTTATATTTACCCATTCTAATAAATGACATATTTGATGAATTTACCAAAGCATATGCTATTAATGACACTGATTCTTTTCCTGAGCCTCTCATTATCTGCCTCTCTTTCCCACCCTTCTCTCTCTTTCTCTCATGTTCACACACACACCACATACACACACAGAGTTCTCTTCTGGTTTATATTTGAAGTTAGTCAATGAATCCAATTCATTTTGCACTGTTGGTCACAGGCAAATGGTCTTTCAAATAAGCGTGTTGTTTTCTGGAGAATACTATCAATTACCTGATGAAATCAAGAGAGGTGGCAAGAGAGCCAAATGTGGGCCTTAGAAAGATGTACTTTTTATACATTAATCTTTAGTGATGACTTGAAAAAAAGATGTACAATATAATCAAGACCTTGATTTCTATGGTTTTGGTAAACAAAAGTAGTACTAATAATGCAAATTAAAGATTTAATGTTGTAATGTGAAACAAAGAAAGCAAGTGGAGACATTTTGATGAAAGAGAGGGTTGTAAAATATTAATATTAATATAACAATAATAGTGGCAAATAATAACAACTGTGAAGAGATTTAAGCACATATTATCTAATTTAACTCATAGATCAATGCTGGCAGTGGTGTTGTTTTCCTACTGATAAAGGGAGGAGCTGAGATTTATGTGAATTAAGTAACTGCCTGTGGTCTATCAGTCTATCATGGCTTGTAAAATACAGAGCCAGGATTCAAATCCATCTCTACTTAATCTAAAGCTATGCTTTAAACATTTTGATAAATACATCTGTGTGGGTAAATACATATTTAGGTGTGTTTTTTATGTGATACATATTTGCACATATATGATAACCATAGTAAATGCTTCAATAATCAGTTTCCTCCTATAGGGAGAAGATATTTACGAGATGAGGAGAACTTTCTTCTAAGGTTATAATTTTTTTTTAAGATTTATTTATTTATTTATTTATTTATACAAGCACTGGGTACAGTCAGAAGCGCGGGAGGGTGAGAGAATTCACCAGAGCCAGAGAGGGGAGCAGAGCAGGCAGAAGAACCGAACTACACTGCTGAGGGGAGCAGCGGGCGGCAGGAGAGGTCTGCGCGCCATGTGGGACCCTCCTCCAGTGGCCGGGGAGCAGCCGGGGATCGAACCGGTGCTGCAGAGGCTGCGGGCAGCTTCACAACCCAGCACTCAACCGCTGCGCCACCGGGGAGGCCCTAAGGTTATAATTTTGAGACAGATCGTCATAATACAATGTCACATAGCTGTGTGTTTGGATACTGGAAGAAATAGAGGATTAAAAGGTAAAGTGAGGTAATGTCATGGTGGATTGTGTGAGTGTAATAGTTTATCATTACCTTTCATATGTCTTCCTGGGTGTTTTCACGTGCTTATTTCCAGAGGGTATATTATTTTCTTTTTCACTGATTCATGATTGAGTTGAATTTTCTTGCTTCAGCATTATTTAATTTCTTTTATCTATTTTACCCATATTGACATCTTCTTTTAATGTTGAGTATCCTCATTAACTGCTGTGACTGGTCATCAATGGATTGTGATAATACAGAAGGAAATATGCAGGGAAGTGAATACTGTTGGTCTCTTAGAGAGGCTTGTTCAGAGAATCAGAGACTTCCCAAGCAGTGAGGACTGATGCCTGTGGTTTATGGGAAGCCTAGATGACTCTTATTCCTGAAAGGGAGAATAGGGAACCAGGCTGGTCATGCTTTAACACAAACCTTTTATAACACCATTTGGTCCTATGAATAGTGTCTGATTTTAGTTAGTCTTGGGCGCCTCTTACATGAACATCAAATAGCTAAATGTGTCCCTAAACTTCTGACATGAGGATGGGTCTATAATTTGATATTCCATATTCTCTTCAGTTGGTAGTAAATGCAGGGGCCAAACACTGCAGGAACTCAGGCACATTAGTTTAGGTTTCCAGCTCAGCACACTAGTAAATGATGGTCTTGAGGAATTGCTCAAAGCTCTGACTTCCCACTGATAGTAGGGATACCTCAGCGCCTGACAATCTCACATTTACTGAGTACCTAGCAGTCATATATGGATGCAATGGGTTTTATAGCCTTTAGACATGCTCAATCATCTTCAAAAAGATGCTGTTTAGTTGGGAAACAAGGTGGACTGCTGAAGAATTGGAACCCTATAAATAAGATTTGTCAGAAGTTCCCACTAGTTTGAATCGTATGAAGTTTTGAGGTCACTGCTAATTTATATTGTGTTACAAACTCTAGTCCATAAAATGGGCCCAGTTTTACCTTGCAGTAGAGGGCTTCCCAGGAATCTGGATACAAGTGCATTGCCTTCAATAATGCTCACAAGTATTGTGTTGTAAACATAATGGAACATCCAATATAACAGCTATTGCTTTGTCACGTTCTCATTTCATGGATAAAGACAATGATAGAAAAGGATGAAATACACATGAATTGTACAAATCGTGGTCTTCTGTTATTTTATCTCTAGTGTAAAGGTCTACTCATCCATGACAAAGTGAATTCCATAGGGAGAAATGGAAGCTTTAGAATAAGGGCTGTCAAACCTCAGTGTGAATCAATGTCACCTGGAAGATTCAACAGAAACAACTCTTTGGTCCCCAAGCCCAGAGTTCCCATTTGCTGGGCCTAGAGTCAGGGCCCCTAATTTACTTTTCTAACAAGTTCCCAGGTGACACTGATGCTGCTTCTCCAGGGAATACCCTTTGCAAACCACTATCTTAAAACACAGGAAGAAAGGATAAAGAAAAAGTAGCCTCATGCTAAAGTGTTCTGCCTTATATCTGAAAAAGCAGTGAATAAAGAAGCGGGACTAAATGTCTAAGTTATTAAAGTTTGTTATTCTTTACAGGTAATATTAAAATGCAGAGCAGACTTAGAAATGGTGGGAAGTCATGGAACAGAACTATTTAATTTAAAGATGTCATTTGCTGCTTGTGCTTATTTATTTTGTAGAAAGAGACTTGTTTTCTCATGTTCAACTTAATTTTATTAAGGCTGGTGTATTCTAAGGGAAATTACAAACATTGTGACATTTGACTTCTTTAGTACTTTAGTATTTACCTATAAAAATGACATTTACTTAGGGCCTCCCCCGGTGGCACAGCGGTTGAGCACTGGGCTGCGAGGCTGCCCGCATCCTCTGCAGTGCCTGTTCGATCCCCGGCCACCGGCGAGGGTCCCACAAAAAAGACATTTACTTAAATAACCAAAATATCATGATTACAAGCTAAGAAAATTAATAATAATTACTTACCTAATACTTATTCTATATTCAAATTGCTTAAAATTATCCCCCAAATGTCCTTTTTATCTCATTTCTCCACATCAGGATCTAGTCCAGGATAACATATTGCTTTTGGGTGTTGTGTCATATAAATCTTTTTTCGTTTAGAACAGTTGTTTCATGACACTGAGTTGCCAAAAAGAGAGGCCCATTTGTCCTGTAGAATGTCTCATTTTTCTGAATTTCTTGTGCATTCTTGAGAAAAGCGTTGATCAGATTATGGTCAATATTTAAGTAGAAGTGCATACTAGCTAATGTCATGTATACCATACTGCATGATATCAGCAGACAAAGAATATCTGATTTTCTCATCATTTGCATTGCTCAGACTGTGCATGTTAATGACTTCCTAATCATCTGCTATTATGCCACTTTCTCTCATTGCTACCAGAGTATAATCTATGTAGTGTTACTTTGATAATATACAGACGTCTGATCCTTGCATTTTTAACTTATGGATTTAAAACCACCTGATAATTCTTCCCTAAATCAATAATTTCATTAAGTCTTGAAAAATAACAATTTACTAATTCTCTTATCCCTTCTCTCTATATATTAGCTGGCATTCTTGTTAAAATTAGAGCTTTTGTTTACAACTGAGGCTGTTTGGTCACCTCAAATGGTATTTTCTAATGGAAAGCTCAATCTTCCCCATAATTTACCAATTTTCAAAGTAATTGGTGTGATTAAATGCCTCAAATGTTGACAAATCGTAGATTCTAGCTTTTTCTGTAAAAGTATCATTAAGGACAGATTGATTTTCACAGACTAAATGTGGGTCAGTTGCCTACCATTATTCTGAAAGTGTATTCATCTGACGGAGTAAGCTGTCAAGAAGCAAAGAACTGAAGACAAAAAGGACAACTTGTGACAGGAAACAGGTGAATGCACTACCCAAAAACTCAAGGTCTCATATTTTTTGTTAGCCTCTTCAGGGTGAAGCATGGAAGGAGACACATCTAACCAGAAAAGGACTGACAAGTGAGAAGACATATGCCATTTGCTTTGAGAGACATTCATTCCAACATATCCAGATTGGAGAAGAGTGGCCACTAATTTTTCTTACTAGAAATGTAAAAAAAAAAAAAAAAGGCAAGGGGATGTAATGTTTGCAATGTGTTTGGTTTGAGTCTATTTTGGGAGTGGTAATGATGGAAGAAATGCTGTCTTTTATTGTATTTATAACCATGCTGACTTTGCAAAGGGAAAACAGACTAAAGTCATTAGATGAATGTAAAAAGGCAGTTAAATGTAAACATAAGGGGAATGATTTATATGGATGTCTTCAGCATTTTTTCTATCTCCCAGAGCTTATTTGAAACAACAACAATAACAACTACCCATCATTACAGAATTAGAGGAAACCATTTTTATTTACCTCAGGTTGAAGTAAAAGTAAGTCCCAAATTATTTCAGTGAGTTTGCTGGTGATAGTCACAGCTGTTTTAATTGTGTAGACCCATGTAGTTGAACTTTGGCAGATGTTTTAGAATCATCTCTCTTGAGTTTTGTTACCCTGCTTTTGTGTAAGTGTCAGCCATAGGGATGCAAGATGTCTTTGATGTCTGTGCTTTGATTGTTGCAATGGCAGATTTGTTAATGTAAAGATAGCACCTTCACTTTTCTCCACACCCACTGCTGGAGAGTCAGGTAATCTACCATGGAAAGCCACGGGGAGCTCTGAACTGGGTGAGTTTACCAGCAAATGCCATTTGTTGGAACATATGCCCCTTTCTTAAGACCTTTGTCCCTGGACTGCTGTTTTGATCTGAATTCCAAGCCAAGGTGACATATTTCATCTTTGCTAATCAAGCCATGTTCATTCTCTAGCTGTGGAATGAATTACTTGTTTTCCAGAAATATGTTCAAAAGAAACATCCTGAGAATTTTCCAGATACACATATTTGTCAATGCAAAAAGTTCAGGAATTGGCATCTTGAAGAAGAGGAGTAAAAGTCATTTTATTTCTTATTCCAGAAGTATTTATTGAATACTTGCTAGGTATCTTGAGGGACTACTTTTCTTAATCAAATATGTATATTTTCTTTACAGATTATATCTTACTCTCAAATCTTGCATTTTCAAAGCATGTAAGTCAGTAACTGAAGATGGAAGAATGTTTTTGTCCTTTGGTTTCAATTTAACCTTTATCACATTCAAGTAACAAAAATGTCCAAAATGCTTCCAAGTCTCACTTATTGACAGTTATCTAGACCTTTGAATATGTGTTTATAAGAATAGGATATTGCAAAATTTCAAAAAAACAATCCAGTGGTTCATGTAGCTTCTTACTAAATTCAATTCCACATGTATAGTTTATATTTCATGCAAGGTTTGCCTTCAAAATGATTTATTTTTGATTTAAAGACAAGAGAAAAAGAAACTAGAAGATAATTTGCACCTCTGTGAATCTTTGAGCACAATAAATATTACAATTAAATTGTTAATTCCAAGAAAGCTGCAGTTGTTTAAAACTTTATTTCTCAGGTCTATAAAAATAAAAAATAAAAATGCCTTTGCTGGTAAGCTTCTGAAATCAATTAGTTGTATCTAACAGCCAATGAAGTTTTCGCTGGAGGTTTTGATGTGTGAGTTATACTGACTTCAAAAGAAAACTTCTATAATGTGGGATGAAATGTAACTTTAAGAATTTTAACTCTGCTTCAGTTCAGAAGCAGAGGCAATTGCACTTAATATTCTCTGCATTGGCAAACGTCTTTTGATTTAGATAGCCATGACTGTTAAAAATGAGAAAGTTTAACTGAGAGTTGGAGTTGTATAAGGTTTCTTTAGCAAAGGTTGTGATATCCCTGGATTCTTGTAGGTTCATTAAACAAGGAGAGGTTTCAAAGTTTTCTAAACCATGGGTTAAAAAAATAAACACATTTTAAATGATAGCATCATTTTACCTGATTATATTTGTGCAGAAAATTTTAGGTATTAAATATGGGGAAGAATTGTCAGTCACAAAATCTTCCAGGGATTGCATAGGTCCCATGAGTTTTTCCTAGAAATGTCTGCTCTCCCCACAGCAGAGACAAAGAAATGCAGAAAGGCAGCCTCACTGTCCTGGACGGCTTGCTTATGATTCTCCCTCAAGGCTCTCTCTGGCTTCTCACTTTCCTCTTTCCCTAGGACCCCGGGCACAATAGGGGTATTTATTATCTCATCCTCCAACCTTTAGCCTCATGCTAGAGGAACCCTGCCCCTTATTTTATTTATAAAGATTTATTTTTATTTATTTATGCATACAAGAACTGGGGTGTAGGCCAGAGGTGTGGGGGGGTGAGAGGATTCACCAGAGACAGAATCGGGAGCAGAACAGATGGATCTATTAAAATACACTGCTGAGGGGAGCAGTGGGTGAGACAGGAGAGGTCTGCTGTGCCACATGGTTCAGCTCCCTGGCCTGGGATCGAATTCATGCCTCAGTGGCTGGTGATAGCTTGATAGTGCTGAGAATTTAACCCCTGTGCCACCAGAAAAGCCAAGACTGTCCCTTATTCACAGACGGTGCTGTGCCCTTTGTGCAGAGCCAAAGCTCAGAGCATCCTGCTAGAGAAGGTATTATGGCCTCAGGACGTGAGCCTAGTCAAGGTGGAAACACTTGAGAATGACAAATCCAGGCCCAGGAAGATCTTTTAGGTTTTCTAGATTCCTGCTATGAGTGAGACCATCCAGTATTTTTCTTTTTCTTTTTTCTTTTCTTCTTTCTGGAAGATCTTTTAAGTTCAGGAATTTACCACCTCCCCTCCCCGACACAACATCCCCCTGAAGTGGCGAAGTACAGTTTGACTTCACACACTTCTATCAGATTTCTGAAGTCACTGTGAATGTCTGTGTCTCCCTTGAGTGTCTTTCCCATTGGTTCTACTTAGAGAATTAGATGATTCTGAAGATGCTTTTCGGTGTTGAATGTCTCATCACCCATAATCCTGACAGCCTTGGCTTAGCACTTTTTCTCTTCAAGTCAGATTCGGTTGGTGGACCCCACTGTCTGGGGATAGTTATTTACTCTTCAGACATTTGGGAATGCCTAGCATGTACTGAACACTATTTTATGTGCTGAGCAGACAGAAGTAAACAGAAAAAAAAATTCCTGCTTTCATGGAACTTATATTTTACTAGGAGAAGACAGCTGAAAATCAATTTTTTTTTTTTAAAAAAGTGTGGTCTGTTAGATGATAATGTGTTCTGTGGGAAAAAACAAAGCATACTAGGCAGCTTGCATTTTAAAACAAGGGATCAGAAAAGACTCACTGGGATGATGAGAATGAATATGAATAATGTCCTGAGGCAGATGCAGGTGAGGTGAATTGGGTACAGGTGAAGCGAGTTGGCAGATATTTTGGGGCAGAGCATTTCAAGGGAGGATACTGCCAGTTCAAAGCCCCAGGCCAGGGCATTGGAGAAGTGGCAAGGAAATGGGCTTCCATTCCTATTGAGCTAGGATGGCATTGAATACCTTTGAATAGAGGAGAGATTCCTTTTCCTTTTTTTTTCCCCCCAGGGATGACACTAGCTGCGTGTCAAATGTGGACCCCTAGGGCCATGGGCAGAAGCAGGAGGAGAGAAGTTAAGAGAAAGTTTTGTAATAACACAGACGGGATGTGCTGGGGGCTTAGAGCAGGTTGGTAATAGTGGGGGTGGTGAGAAAAAATATATATACTATATATATATATATATAGTATATATATGTATTCTAAATATAATTTGAAAGTAGAGCATACAGTTGACAGAAGGATTAGATGTAGGCTGTGAGATGATAAAAGAGAACTCGAAGGTGATTTCAAGGTTTTTGGCCAGAGCAACTGCAGGGATGGAATTTTAGTTTACTAATGTGGACTGAGGTCTGGATTAGAATCCCTGCCTGTGGGTTTCTTACAGTGTGACTTTGGGTAAGCAGCATAACCACTTGGTGCCCCCGCACCGTGTTTTCGTTGAAAATATGTTAACCTTATCTACTTTGAGCGTGATATAAGAACTAGAGATAATGTATTCAAAGCTTTTGCTTGGTGCCTGATACTGTGGGCACTCAATCATAACTGGACTTCTTATCATTATTGTTCTTGAGAACAAAGGCACGAGTCCTGGCTTTCCTTTAGATATTTAGAGATTATTTGAAGATAGGGTGTATGTTTCCTTGAGTCTTCGAGGAAAGATTTTCACAGTCTGTCCTTGTGGAGGCTGGCTGGTTTCTATGACTCTCCTTGAAGCATGTACATGTGAACCACTCTCTTGATTTGTAAAAAGAATAGGGAAAGGTTAGAAAAGGACTTTATATATTTTTCATAGAAATGTGCATGTGAGCAGCTGGCAGCCCCATCCTTCAGGCCCCAATAACAATTGTGAATGGAGAAGCTTTGTTTTTGATGCAGTTGACACCGGATAATGGGAGTCATTATTTACATGTATTTTCTTTTTGTTACTGGTCCTTTATCATACCCCAGTGCCATTATGTAATTTTAGTGCAAGTAAACTTGAAAACTTCCAAGTTATAAAATCAATTCCAGCCACAATTTTAATTACTTGTGGTTCTGAGCAGGGCCGTAATATCCTTGATGACCGTCAGTTACAAAAAGACTGACCAATCATCTGACCTATCAGTCCTGTGAGGTGGCTATATTCGCAAAAAGTTCTAGAAAGGATGAATACCTCGGATGAGCTCTATTTGTCTGAAAAATATGTGTTGAAAGCCAGATGATTGAAACAAAACCCTGAATATAGAAGGAAATATGGGAGAACAAATAAAACTAGACTATGTCTTTGGTTCTAATTTTTTCTTTTTCTTTTTTTTTTTAAGATAAAAATTATGGACTGGACCAAATAATCTTCTAAAGGTTCTGTCTAGCACTAATACTTTATGTCCTATTTTGTTCCTTTTTGTGCCGTCTTAAAGCCTGGTAAAAATAAAAGTTAAGATTCCTCCTGCTCCCATGGAGATGATGGCCTTCTGAAACCTTTTCATGGATAATTCAGCTTCACGGGTTATGCTGTACTCAGCAGACAGGCATGGCACAAATTTTAAACTCTTGGCAAAGCAAAGCATGGAATGAAAGCCAATATGTAGAGAAAGACAATCTCTTTGGTACAG